TATTGCATTTATGGTTTAGGGGCCGCGGTTTACCTCCCTCCGTTTAGTCATGCTGGATCAGGGGTAGTAAACTCAGCGATCGTGGGTTCGATTCCCACACGGGGCAAGTTTTTTTTTAAATTTTTTAATTAATTTTTTTTTTAAGGTCGTGGGTTCGATTCCCACACGAGCCATTTTTTTTTCAAAGGCAGTTTAGTTGATGGTGGATAATGATAGCAAACCTGGAGGTTGTGTGTTCGATTCCCACACGAACCAATTTTTTTTTTTTTTTTTTTTAAGTTTGAAGGTGGATAATGAATAGCAAACCTGGTGGTTGTGTGTTCAATTCCCACACGAACCAATTTTTTTAAGGCAGTTTAGTTGATGGTGGATAATGAATAGCAAAGTATTTTGATGGTGATTTTTTTTTTCATTCAATGGGAATTCATATATTTTATATGAGAAGAATCTATGAATATTCAGCTTTCCGTTTACTGGGCGGGGGGCGATTTTTTTTTCCGTACGAAACATTTGCATGAAACTTCACTCGGGCCATCTCGGATTGACTCGAGTGAGTACGATACGAGGAACAAGAGCAGACACTTCGCAATGTCGTGACGCTCGAGTTTTACTATTATTGCTCTTTCTATGTTTACCTACGGTAGGCCTATGAAATTTCACGGACTATGTGATGTAGGCCTACGTCACTGTGTAACTAACTGTGACCTTCTTGGATGTTATTAAATGTTAGTATATTATCTACAACAACAACAGATAGTACCTCCTGTTATACAGTGTAGATAGGTACAGTTATACCAAAGGCTAGAGAGAAAGAGGATAAACTATAGGCCTAACTACAGGCTGAGGTCTTACCTAGGCCCCTTCTTAAACTAGGCCTAGGGTCAGGCTGACAGAACAGTCACGCTTCACATACTGACATGGACTGAAATTTGGGTGGTGGGTGGTGGGGAATGGGACAAAACTGAAGCATGAAATGAAAAATAGAGCGCATAAGAGAAATATTATTAAATAAATAATATACCATTCCGGCGTTATTGAACTTGTCCAAACTATCATTGTAATGTAATTAATGCTAAATAATAATAATAATAATAATAAAAATAATAATAATAATAATAATAATAATAATAATTTCAGCATTAATTACCTTTGGCCTAAGCCTTGTAATGAAGAACCTACAGATACTGTACTATTTACTAGGCCTATAAATAGTAATCGCCCAAGGGGAATATCTTTTGTGTTATTTCCCCTTAACGTCGTTTTTTTAATTGTTCTCTAATTCCTCCATTGTCTAAATTCCCCTTAAAGTACAGGTAATAATAATAATTAATAATAATAATAATCATTTCAGCATTAATTACCTTGGCCTAAGGCTTGAAATGAAGAACCTACAGATACTATTTACTAGGCCTATAAATAATAACAGCCCAAGGGGAATAATTTTTGTGTTATTTCCCCTTTGTCTAAGTTCCCCTTAACGTACAGGTAATAATAATAATAATTATTATTATTATCATTTCGGCATTACAATTAACTTGGTCTAGCCTTGTAATCAAGCCGATTACTATGCCTAATATTATATTAATAACTAGTTAGATTAATTTTACACCAAAGACATTTTTTTAGTGATACAAATTGATGTTTTGTATAGAACCTGTCTCTTATACACATCTAGATGTGTATAAGAGACAGGTTTTATAGCTCATATTTGCATGCCCTTAAAGTTTGGGTTGGAGTGTGCCCTCATGAAAAGTCAACAGGTATTACAAAGGAGTTACTGGCAGACTATTCACAGAAAAACTGTTTCACATACTTGCTGTCATCCATTATTTAGTGTGCCTCCTAATCTTCCTCATGATGTCAATATTCCCTATAAAATATAAGCCGTGGCTAGAGATATGGTACCGTGTCGGAACTTTCGAATGCTAAAGGTATGGTAAATGATATTACGTCATGATTAGCCAATAGAAATGACCGACTCGATTTTGGCTTTTTTGCAAAGTCGACGTCGCGATCATGAGAAACATGGGGCGAACAGTTACGATCAAATTTATGTCATAAAACTTTAGGCCCATTTCATGTATTTCGATTGGGGCTTATCACAATGTTTGGGTTAAAAATCCTTTCTGTTATTCTTGCGTATTTTATGGTCTACCATAGAGAATGGTCTACTAAGGCTAGGCTTAGACCTAGCCCGAATACCCACCTAGGGGCATTAGTAGTCGTACTACTAGGCTAGGCTTAACTTAGGAGGTTTTAGGGGTAGCTAAGGCCTAAGCCTGGCTTCTACTATTAAAATAGTTTATTCTCGCTTGATGTCGCCAAATCTAGCAAAACTGCTACCCTTTTTATTTGCTATAGGGCCTCAGGCTACAGAATATTAATCACAGCTTATCAACAACACCCGCAAACGAACGAATCTTCGATCGTTGCTAAAACACACTCGCTACTCTTGCAGTGGCAGTGCACTGAATGACTCGCGCATGTATCGGGTCTCTATTGGCTAATCATGACGTAATATCATTTACCTTACCTTTAGCAATCGGAAGTTCCGATACGGTACCTTATCTCCAGCCACGGCGTAAAATATAAGAAGGTTTGGCTAGTGGTACAGCATTGTACGATACGGACACTAAAGGTATCATTGGGATTGGTGGATAAGAACATGCTTCACCTATGACAAGTGACCAACTTTGGTGTAAAATGTCAGTGAGTAATTATTAGGTAATCTTTTCTGGAGTGGTCAATTCAGTGGTATATTCCTAACTTTGATTACTTACTATTTTACAAATGTACCTATTCTAGGTATAATACCTACATTTCTTTTCTTTTCAGCTTCTAAAACTTGAGTCTACTCCTTAATGGAACATGGGATGTTCCACTAACTCTAATTGCTAATAAAATGTTTTCATTTCAGAAGCACATTCTAGTGAACACCACCATGATATGTCGCCCTCTAAAGTCAGAAACCAAAACAAATCAAAAAGGACTGACAACTTCGATGATGCATTGGTTTCCAATCTTAGAAAGGTAAAGTTAGTATAAAATTATTTTAATGTTTGATAAACATACTTAACTGCATATAATCACACTTCATTCTCATTCTCTTGAGACCATTCCCCTCCCAGTTTTGACAGTCAAAACTGCAGCCCCCCCCCCACTCTCAATTGCCAATCTTCAAAATCCACAATCAGCCATGTGACCCTCACAATTACTATGGGCGTATTCGACTGGTTCATTTCATTGACTACAGATTAATTTTCGTTGAGTATTATTTTCATTCAACTGGTTTGTAAAATAGACTTCGTTGACAATGAAAATTAACGTAAACCATTCACGTGACCAAAACAATCATGGCTGATTTGTGAGTTTAGAAACAACATTTGCGTTAATATAATTTAGACTAAATTTCAGAAAATAAAAATTATAACATTTACATACACGAAGTCAGAAAATAATTGTAGGCTAACAGAATTCAAAAACTGTATGAAAATATTTTTTTATGAACAACCCATACTGGCACAAGCTGAAGCAATCTTGATTACTCAGCGTTTATCGCGGTAACTATACAGCCATTTTGTTATGTCGAGTATTTACAAGTTTACTTTTCGACTGGTCATCTTCGTTTAGTAGGATTTTACTTCTGCTTAGATGTGTGGTTTAATGAAGAACGACCAGTCGAATATGGCCGATTTTAGCTTGACCTCATTTGCTGTTGGAGCCATCTGTCACCATGAAGCATTGACTTTTTATATGATGACCCATTTGACCCGGATAATAATACTATATGTAAACTTGATAACTGCATTACATTGTTGCACTGAATTCATCTCTAACTAATTAAATTAAATGGACAGTACTGTAGGGTAGATTAAAAATATAATGTATCATCAGCTATAATGTCACTATTTGTAACTGTTCTTTATTTGTTTACTTTAATCTTTCCCTTTAATTTATTTTGCAGGTTTTGAGTGGCAACAGTAATGGATTTTGGGCAAACAAGTTACATTATGCCTATCGTGTAAGTAAAGTTTCAGCCTTCTTTCTGTAGGTTCTCCAAAAAATAGGATATTCATTGATGAAAACAGTAAAAATAATTATTGATTGTCAAAACAAGTGGTAAAATCTGATACTATATTGTGTGAACTACAGTACTGTAGTCCACACTTTGAGCCCTCTGATCTTCATGAAATAGCACTATATAAATGCTGTGATTTATGTACATAGAATAACCTAATGATAGTGTCTATAAAGAAGAGCCAGGCTATTTTCGTGGGTCAGGTGCGGATCCAGAATCCATGAAACAAGGTGACACAGATTTCATTTAGGGCCTAGATGTAATTTAATTATACAGAAATAAATATAAATATAATGGTATGATTCGTGTTTCGTATATTTAGTATATGTATGCAATTTTGTATTTTTTCTGTTAAAAAAATAAAAGACTGCAGTTGGCAAACTGGGGGAACAAGTCTCCCTCCCTAAATACTCCCCTGCAAGAAAGGAAAGCTGAGTGGTAGTATTGTACATCCATAATGTTGAATTGGGACTACATTTGAATGCATGCTATTTACAGTAATTTCCATTTAGATACTGGTTATTTAAATTATATTTAATGCACTCTTCAGAAACTAACTGGTGAGGATCTTCCATTGTCCAAGTATGGATTTTTCAACGTGATTGATTTAGTTTCTGCAATGCCAGATGTGATAACCATTGAGAGACCAAAGCCAAATGGTGATTGGCTGCTTTTTGATGCTCGTTTACGTATTTCAGGTGAGATAGAGCATTATATTGGTCAATGTTGAGCTGTATGTTTTTTTTTCAATAGGATTAACACATAGGATTTTAAAATTGCTTTTTATAAAAATTGATATAATAATATGGAATAAGATAGCATTTGAGAACTCCTGGCTTGCAAGAATAAAATATTAAAAAAAGAATTATAATGCTTCAGTAATAAGAGAGAAAATTCATTAGTTATGTATTGGTACAAACATTAATTGTCCTTGTAACTTAGAACTAAAGCCGCAAAAAGCAAGGAAGAGCTCTACAAAAGAAAAAGGATCTGTTGAAGTGAAGTCTGAAAAACCAAAACTAACTTTAGATCAACTGAAGGTAAAAATACGAGAAGTTCTTGAACAGCGACCAGGAATTGTTGTACAGCAGCTTGAAAATGCATATGAAGTAAGAGCCTAATTGTGCCCTTCCTTTCTTTATTATCCCTCCCTACTATTAGATTAATTTTACACCAAAGACATTTTTTTAGTGATACAAATTGATGTTTTGTATAGAACTATGGAATTTATTAATTAAATCAATACATTTTTAGGAAGCATTCTAATGTGGTATTTTAGGACTGTTACAAAATATAATGATTACATGTTAGTGAAGTTAAATTATATTAGTTAATGTTTTTAAGTGTGCTATATATGATTATGTATTAATTTGGTTAATTAAAGTACCTGTGACATTTGGACTTTTTTTTTTGTTTTTGCAGGAGATATTTGATGAGGAATTACCACTACAAGATCATGGCTTTATGGATGTTGACACTTTGGTGGTTATGATCCCAGATGCACTTAAAGTGGTCTATAAAGGAAGAGGTAGGCTTACAACTTAACCATTTAGCAAACTGAATATTTTACTTGGCAATGCATATAGGCTAAATGCTTTGCAATTCTCTGTGGGAGTTCTCAGCAGTTTTGATTCAGGATCTCAACCTTGAGGTTGGGGTTTGAATCCTTCATTCTGCATTTCACTTGTGTCCTTGGGCAAGGAACTTTGCCTATAGTTGTCCCTCTCCGCCCAAGAGTATTGTTTAAGTTGAATCTAAACGTCAATGCACTTATTACAAGCTGTTTTATTATATACTCTCCTTTAGGAAGCTGAGAATATGTTCTATGTTTTATTTACTGACTGTGGGATAAAAATGTGTAGCACTTAAGGGCCTTGTTTGCAAGATGCGCTATATATCATATTGTTTGAAGGTTTTCATGGCGAAATAATATATTAAATGCTTGCTGTACACCGCATAGTTCTGAAAAGAACTGTTGTTTTATTGAGAATATTTTGACGTTTCTATTGAGTTGCTTCAATTGTCTTAATAATATCTCTATATAACATATTATTACTGTGCCAAATATGTATCTGAAAAGTATCTATTACATAATTTAATAAACTGTATAATACCTTTCAATGCAGAGCAGAGTATGCAAGTCCAATTGTGCTCGTTATATTTCTAATTTACATTTTGAAAATAATTTTGCACGTTTTTTGTTGTTTTTTTTTTGAGGTCGACTTCACTTGTACCCGTCCAAGAATGAATCTCTAGGCAGCCTACCTGAGGTATCCAAACCTATTATTTGATGTATTTTTACATATACAATTGTTCCTCCATCTTCCATCTGACACTTAGTATCTTGGGAGTCAGTTTCTTCAGCATTCATACAGTTGTTGAAAAAGGCTTTTGAGAGCTTCCTTCTATTGGGAATTTAATTTTTAATGAATTATAATCAATAGCAGTTTTAAATTTTTACAGACATCTTTCTGAAATTTTATCTAGATATTGTTCTCTTTTTATTTAAATATTTCTAATCTCACTTCCCATTATAGCTCTATTTCAATTTTTTCATTGTTTATTCTGCAGAAAGTTTTAATACAAACCATCATGTAGTATTAGTACCTGAAAGCGGTGTGCCATTTGATTTATTCATATTCATTTCTTTATTTTAAAAAGGTATTTAAACCATCATACAGTAAAGTACCAAGTGATGCAATTGGCAGTGGTGTTTCCTACAAATTCAATGATTTACCTCCACTGCAAGAATACATAGAAGTCTATGTGTCCAACGTGGTGTCGCCTTACAACTTGACCCTGCAATTGAAGACCGATGAACTTCTGCAACTGGAGGACGTTATGGATGAACTTGAGTATGTATCAAAATTTTTGAAAAAATATCCACTCAGATAATTTCTAAGGCAAGACATTTTATAGCTTGTTTAGCCAGCCCGCCGCCTGCCAATAATGATGATTCCAGATAAAAATAAAATTTTATTTTGGGCCAATTAGCACAGCCGCCGCCACAAAAAATAGGAAATTTATGACAAAAATAAAGGTTTTTCTTTATTTTTATTACGCCCGCCGCTGCCTTGAAATCTCCAAAAATAAGATATGTATATTTCTTCTTAATTATATAAAATTAAAGCTTTTAACCATCCCATTACTACACTGTTTACATTCACCAAAAATATATTTGTATTTTCTGGTCCATCTGGATGGTTTTTGGCAAACTATTTGCTATTTAAGAAAACAAAATTTGATTTTATTTTTTTTTTTCGCCCTCCTTTGACGATCTTTAAAAAAATAAGTTCTCGAAACCAAGGACTTGTAACTGTTACCAGGATAGGAAGCTGGCTATTTTAAGCCGTCTAACTTGAACGAGCCTTATGTCTGGTATTGTTATGCTAATGAGCCAGATAAGCACAATCTGCACGGACATGTTGAGGTCAAACTGCCTCACTGGGTCAATTGAAGTTAAAACTTACTCAACTGTAAAAGGGAAACAAAACTTTCCTTGGCCAGACTGCGTATCAGCTAGGCCTAGCCGAGAATTACGATACGGTAAAACAGTGCAAAATAGGGGTATTAATTTCTCTTGGCATGCAAATTAATCATATTTCCATACTTAAAAACAAAATAATCTATCAATAAAATCACCTGCTAGTTAAGATATAAGGCAAACATTTTCGGTTAATTTATTTAATTAATTTATTTTATATATTAAAAAAAAGTTATTTTATATAATACTTAAAAATGATTTCATATTAGGGAAGTGTACTGTTCAAATTTTGGCGAAAAGTACAAAATGGTTGAATCCATGATTGCAATCAATCAAGTATGTGCTGCCCTCTACCAGCAAGATGGAAACTGGCATCGTGCAATTATTACAGGCATTACAAATATAGATTTTGTAGAGGTAAGTCTCTAATTCATTGGGCTTTATGACATTTTATTGTAATAAATATGTAGAAAAATATTCAATAAATTATTGCCGTATTATTCTGTTACGAATCATTTAATTTTGCTGCTTTTTGTTACTTTTATAGTTTTTTAAAAATATATTTATTTTTTTTTTCTTGCAGGTTTTGTATGTAGATTATGGAACAACAGCCTGTGTACCAAAAGGCCTTTTACGATTCTTAAGGTATATATTATATTTTTTAAACATTAAAATAAAAGCAAACAAAGTAAGTGACACAACAAGGGGTTTGCAATTGTAGAAATGGAAATTGGATAAACAAAGTTGAACGGTGAACATCTTAGATTTTGTTTTTCTTTGATAGATCATCTATGTTTCATCTACCTGTACAGAGTGTTAATGCAAGACTGTCATTCATCCAGCCAGTAGAGGTATGCATCAATCAATCAATCAATTCAGTCATTCTATCAGTCAATGAATCCATTGGATCATTAGTTCATTCAGAATGAATAGAAAGTGTTCTATAAAAAAAAAAATAAAAAAAATTAAAATAACGAATCCTATTTAGGCCAATATTTTTTCTCACATTACCATCATAGTCCAGGCCTAGGCGATGCCTATTTTTTTATCGGTTAGGCCTAACTAGGCCTAGGCCTACAACATTGTTTTCTATGTCAGTTTCTAAGTCTCCTTATTATCCAGCACAGCTGTAACAACTACTCAAATTTCTAACAAAACAACCCCTGACAAGTTTCACATCAAAATGTGCAAAAATTATTGGCTTTCCTATACAGTAAACAGAGCTGTGTGTGTGTACCATCCAAGATGGCTGTCATAGATTCAGCCAATCAAATTTCGCCCAAGCACTATCATTTTCAATGGCGCCCTCAATTTACACAGAAAGTTCAATACAGCTAGTTACCCGTATGTTTGAAACTCGGGCGTTGCAGTGAATGGGTGTAATGTACACGATTTTATTTATTTTTTTAATTTTTGAATAAGATGCCCTACTTGGCCTCTTTTTGGCTAGGACAGTTTAATAATTTGTTATTATCAATACTAATTATCATTAAATAAAATAATAGTCAGTCAGAGGGCTTATTTATGGTATAATATGTATACTAAGTCTGAAGGTGGCGCTTTCCTACGGCGGCCATCTTGGATGGTACACATACATAACTCTGCATTGCTTCACCATCTTGTCAGCACTCTAGTTGTTTATTAGCTCTATGGCCTATTCGCATTTATACGAAACTGGCCTGCATACCAACGGTGCAGTGTTAAGACTTGAATTTTAGAGAATTGCATTTATAATCAGCCATCAACTGATTCTTACACAATGATCAACTCACATCAAATAGCTGTTAACAATTATAGAAACAGTACTTTGACATTAAAAATATACTGTAGTTATTCCACAGTTCTTGCAATTATTAATTTTGTCATATTCTGACAAGTATGGCTGGCTGGCTATTCAATTGTTTTTAATGACTTGTTTTTCAGGATAAATGGACCAAGGCTGTACAAGACAGAATTCTTCAACTTTGTACAGATAAAGCTTTAGTTGCCTTAGTAACCAGCATAGAGGTAGGCAGCTTTGCCTATTACAACTGGCAGTTATATCAAAATAAAAGAAAAGTGGAAATAGAAAAAAAGGGAATGACCTGGGGAAGGATAATTAGGGTGTTTTAGTAAGGAGTAAGCAAAGGGAGAGGCTTGATTAGTGGTAATGAGGAAGAGGGGAGTGGAATTTTAAGTTGGTGGTTAACAAATAATTGTGAACTTGCATTTAGCATTCTATATGCCTATCTCTGGTTAATGGTATGGTTAAAATGAACCTTTACCTTCCCACTTACATGTCATCAGTAGTTGTGTGATGAATTAGACATTTGCCAAATCTCATGAATAAACATAATATACTCATGAATAATAATTTTATGCATTTGTATTTTTGTACATAGGGAAAAGTGCTGTCTGTCTGCTTAACAGACACCAGTACCGATGAAGACGTGCACATCAACGATTTGCTTGTGAGCGAGAATCTTGCCAAGTTCACAACATCAACGATAAATGTCAAACCAGTAGGTTATATCCCAGCTAATAATATTACCTTATTCTGTAAGAACATTATAACGTTAAGTTTGGTGTTGAAAACCTTATTTTGTAGAACCATGAATACGTACTTACAACTTATTTTGTCGTACAATGTTGTGTGAATGTTATTTTGTGAAATACCTAACCATGTTTCACAAACGTTTGTAAGAATGTTTTGTGTTTACCAGGATCAAAAAGGGAAAATAAACAAAATACAATATGAGAGTATGGTGTTTATGTTCGTATACATCTTAAAGAACAGTTCAGTGTCAGTTTTGTTATTGTAAATATATTATATATGCATAATGTTATTTATTATTGTAAAGTAAATTTTATAATGTGGTTTTCAAATTTTACAGTATTCAGAGTACAGCCTTGTGACAGGGTATGGTCTTGATATACCGACCTTGGTATATGATAGTAATTCATATGGTGGTTCTGCAATCCCAGAATGTAAAGAAGTACCAGTGGCTGATGAACAGAAGGAGGAATTTAAGCCTAACACATCAACACCTCCTAGGACCCCTCCTAGGATAACCTTGCCTAGGCCAGCCCCCATTGATGCACAGTTCAACCGGTTGAGTATTGACGTACCGGTGATTGAAAGTGGTCTCTATGCAAAGTCAGCTAGAGAGGAGGCTAGAGAGGAGGTATTGACCTGTGCAGTACCTGACGAGGAACTTGAGGAGTTGGTTGATGAGGAGCTGATGGAGCAAATGAATCGTGAGATGGGTGGAGATTTTGATGATCTTGAGTCTTGTAGATATATTATGTAGTAAGTAAAGTAATGATACCATGCTTTTTTTTAATCCTCTAATAGGCAGTGTACTTGTCTAGATGCAGTCTTCATCAGTATGTTTAATAGACACATTCCACGAGGTTTGTTTACAGCCAGTCATGTGACATATAGTGGGTATTACTATGGAGAATTTACAATATGATCAGTGTTAAAAGTATAGGAAAGGGTAATGTTATGGTTTTTGAAAACATTCGCGCACCATTAACATGAGAAATAACTGGCAAGGAAAGGCAATACCATTGTTCAAAATAATGTTTAATTACTTATTCTAGCATTCACTGTGCTTTGTATGCTTTTGAATTTATGCGATCCTTTGTAAACCTAAGCTAGCCTGGAAATCTTAGCATGTCAGAATCGTAGTTCGCGTATTGAAGACTCTCGTGCATACCTAAACAGGCCGTAGACTTGCAGGGGCTTAGGCATAGCATCTCTCGAAAAAAATCTCAAAGAAGAAAAAAAAAGAAATTATGAATTGGAAGCAGTTCTATACAGTATTGTTTAATACAGCTTGATTTTTTTTTTTCTACCATCACTTCAACAACGCCTATTTTTACATTTTTTGCCTATTGGGGCAAATTTAAATGTTTCTGAAAAAAAAAAATGAAGTAGTGCAGTAGTGTAGTGTATTGCTAAACCTCATTGAACAAGTCTCTTCTACTGAAATCATGTTGCACTTACTAATTTTTTGCATAAGTATCATTCTTTGTTGGGTGTTTTTGTACTTTAGTTGTTTTATGTGTTTGGTTTCTTTTTCAACAGCCTTGATCTTGGAAATGATCGTACCATTCATCTGATAAATCATGATGGCATTGCATACCTACCAAGCGCCAACTTAAGAACATTAATTGATGTGGACGCCGTCAGTCAAGTTGTGAGTTACTTTTTTTTATATATCTTTGTCATCTCTGAAACTTGCACTAAAACATGCTAATATTGGCTCTGTGGATTTTTTTTTCACAAAAAATAGGTTACTATACAAAAAGAATGAGTTTTGAATTAATTATCTTCAAACTTTTAGTTATAGTTGGAAGTTTGGTTTTCTTGATACTGATTATTGTATGGAAACGGTTGTTATCGGTGATCATGCTGGCTACTGAATATAACCAGGCCTAGAAAATAAAAACCTCTAGCTGAAGATTGCTTTCACTAGGCTCTAGGATAGGCCTACATTGATGAGGGTTGTTCATACACTTACAGTGGGGCTTAAGAGTGTCATTTCAATTTTGGTTGCTTAAATTTTCTCATCCAGTATTCTACATTGTGTTGCAATAATGTGTATTTTTATAAAAACACTTCTTCCAATATTAGATCAAATCCTGAAATAGTATATCTTCTCACCAATATTAATTTCATGTTGTGTATTTCTATCCTGATTTTATCTTTGATTTTTTTTAGATGCAAATTAAGCAACTTGGTATCCAATCAGTGTCGCTTTCTAGAGAAGAAAATCCAGATCTATTTGCCGAGTTAGATGAGTATGTGACATAGTCAAATTCTTTACAATATATTTAAGATGCATGATGCATCCAGCAAAGCTGTTAATTTTTAATGCTCACTGCTTTAGGCCCAACTCGGTCTGTCGACGGAATCCGACTTAAGTCATCATTGGGGTGAAGTATTGGAACTGTGCTCTAATATGGTAACATAAACATTGTATAATCTGGTAGTACATTATACACATGATTATAGCAAAACCTTGTAGTCTCACAACAAGCATCAGGTCTGTCGAGTGCTTACACAGCTCTGACAGGTTAGGTTTGTAACCCAGTCTCTATGAGGGTTGAGGAAATCTTATTTACACTGCAATAGCATAGGTATTTATTATTCAATAACAGTAACAAAGCCAGTAGTGTTCATTGATTATATTTTATTATTTTGATCATTTGAATTAAAAAAAATAAGCAATAGAATATTCCTTTGCATTTCTTATTGTAAATGTATTTTTAATTATTTTCATTTGATTTTTTAAGGTACGAAGTAACTCGAGGGCCAGCAGCAGAAGGCCAGACTGATTCCAGTCCCTATATCACCTTGTATCCCCTTGAAAGGTATGTCACAAAATACACTCTTTACTTGACCTCTTCATGCCATCAGGTAGCAGAAGGTCATGGTTTTTCTGTAATTTTTTTTATTTTTTATAGATATGTAGATACAGGTCGCCTTACAATTAAAGACCACATTTGGGAGCAGGGTTTCCATGGTCTTTAGCAGCTTTGTTTTCTAATTAGATTAATATCTATTCCAGGAGGGTTGGGTGCATTTTCCTCTTTCCTTCCCCTCAGATTTACCCAGGTACGATCGACACTGCTTGTAGCTAAACTACTGCTGGTTTACTTCCTACAGCCTTTGGATCACATAAAGTACTCTACGAATGACACTGTGTTAATTCTCACAGCATACAGTATACATGATGATATATTATTTATATTTTTTATTTTTTGGTTGTAGAATTCCAAGCTTGGTGGCAGTATTTGAGGGTGAATCATCAGATCTGTCATCCATATTGACACAAGTGTTTGAGCAGTTTGACCCACAGAACCCATACTGGAGGGTAAGCTAGTATGAGCATTCAATCTGATTGAACCAAATACTCTATTATATATGGCTGAGAACAATTGCTTCCAAGCTGCAGCAGACTTGTATATAGTTATGCTATCATATGAAAGTTTGAATATGAATAATATACTAAGAAATAGTAATAGTGAATGATGATAAAACCTCTGGTACACCATGGAAATTTAAATGTTTTGAAATCTCTTGCTATGACTTTGTGTCTATCTCAAATATCTTGTCTTTTCCTCAAATCCCATTAACTTTTCAAAAACCTTTACCAAAATTCATATTGTCCTGCCATATGGAACCACAAACTAGACTTACTTTGACATCAACATCAACCTCATCACATATTTTTAATATGGAGAACCTGGGTACACATATTTATACTTATTATATACACTCTTCTTAGCATCCTTTGCTTTATATGGCCATGTGCCCTTCTTGTCTTGCATTCCTATTGACAAAAATGCCCAAAAATAAATACCATCCTATTGTAATAATATTTTTAATCTGATTTTTGGTTTATATTTCAGGGAGAAATATCACCTGCCGAAACCAAGAATGAAAGTGAGAGTGATGATTTGGACTTGTTAAAACTCATGTTGCAAGTTTGGGAGAGAAAACGGTACGCAATAAATGTTTTCAATGCAATTTAGGCATCGTTTATTGAATTCAAGTCACCAGTAGAAAGCTCAGGGTGTTTCAACAGGTTAGGATGATAAATGCCGGAGGAACAAGGACCATAAAAAAAGCTGTAAAAAGTAGAGTTGTGTAGCTTAATGGTTAAGATGCTTGCCTTCTAATCCCAGGATCCTGGGTTCAATTCCTGTGACAGAAGGACTTTTTCTCACAACTAAAACACTCAACTCTCTAACCATCATAAAGAGAATTGGGTTATAAAGCATTGTTCAATCCTGTAATTGACACATTACTTGCTGTTGGTTGTGCTCCCCAATGTACATCATTTCAACATTAGATATTTGTACTTTGATTTTTCAGGCAGAGAATTCTTGTTGCTATGATGGAGGATGCAGGAAATGTGATGGTGGATGAACTTTCAGATATTGAGCTTCAGATATCGGCTATTAAGACCAAGATCAAGGAAATGCAGATTGAAGCAGAAGAGATTGAAAGAGGTATAAGATATGTTATGAACACTGTTTGGGACAGATATGCTTAACTATCATCAGCACTACTATTTTGTGACATTTTTCTGCCATGGTGTTACTTAAGCTACTGAAAAACTATATTATAAGGAAATTAAGTAGCTGGTATTACTATAGAAGTCCTTAAGCTGCTGAAATTCATATAAAAATGCTCAAGGTTGTATATACAAGAAAAGGACTTATAGTTTTGTGAAATTGTATTTTGTAGTTTTAAGCTGCTGATTTAGAAAAGTGAAATTTCATATATTTATAACTTTGAAACATTTTAGGAAGTTGTTTTGGCAAATAATATTTCTAAGAAGAATTTAATGTTTAAGTGCAGACTAAATTATTTCTGTTTTTTTCAAAATATTTTGAAGTTATGGGAAAACATGATTTGCATTACAAAAATATACACTTGTTTTTGCCAATCAATGATATTAATTAAAATCTCAAGCACTTTTTATGAGATAGCATTTTTAGTGCTTGATATCTTAAATTCCAGTATCTTACAAAACCATGTACAGACGATATTTAGAACTAGTTGATGACCAAATTTTGAGTTTTGTTTTATTAAAAAAACGTTTGGTCTGTATTCAGTTGCTTTTTAATGGAATACTTGTGTAGTCAACTGCAAAATTGGGTGTTTTTTTTTGTTTGGTTAATTTTGTCTTGTACTATCTTTATCAACTAATTAAGAATCCATTGATGTTAGTTGCAGTTGAGAGAGCCATTAAAAGACATATAATTGACCAAAAAAATGGCTTTGCGATTTTCAGGTGTAGTTGGTGATCTGGTATCCCAGGGGCATACGTCAACCACTTCACGCCACTCAGTTCCAACTGACGACCATAGCTCTTATCCAGATGCTGGATGTACTGAAAAGGACGCTGAGGATATTTTGATATCAAAACCAAGCCCAGTTTCAGTGAAAAGTGGGAAAAGTACTGGTGTAGGTGAAACCACCAAGAAGATGAATGTTGTTGAACCTTTCAAGCCCTCTTTAGACAGGAGTTTGATATCTGATAGTCAGACAAATACCCACAATGCACCTGTTGATTCCTTAAAACAGTCAGAAATAGTCAACAATTTGGAATCATTTTCTCATAATGGGACTACGTATTACCATTCTCTTCCACAACATCAATCCAATCTTCAGACAAATCAGTCAAATCTGATCCCCCAGTCCAATCAGATTTCTCAATCATACATGCAAAACTTCAGACCCAGTCTTCCTCCGCCCCAAGCAAATGTGCTACAACCACGGACAAATATGTTACCAGCCCCACCTGGGTTGCCACAAGTACCCGCAGGAGTACCTAACCACCAACTTCCCCCACAAAACATGCAAATGCCACGGCCGAATATGCAACCACAACTCAACATGCAGTTTGTGCCTCCAAATATGCATCAGAACTTTCAACCTGGTCAGCCTCGGAACTCACAAACCTACTTGCAACAGCCACCGGTGCATATGCAACCTCAGTTCCAGCAACCCATGCCTCAGCCTATGCCACAATTCAATCAACCTATGGCTAACCAGCCTAACTCTATGCATCAAAATGTTGCCAGGTTTTCCACTGGACAGTATTACGTTAACCAAGGCAGCTATAATTATGGTGGTGCATACATGGGCCATCCCACATCAAGCTCCCAGTCGAGTGTGCCATTCACAGGGCAGTCTGCTGCTGGAGTTCGGCAGATTTATGGTGGTTACTGGTCTACGCAACACTGAAGTCGGCTGTGTTCTGAAAAACTCTTAATCATAATTAGTTTTATAAACTTCATAATACTGTATATGTTACTTTAGTCAATATCATGTTTTAAAGCAAATTGCAAAATTGTGGCTAAACTGTTGTTTGGGCATGGAGTGTTATTTTCCTCAATTTTTTGAAGTGATGACTTCCTCATGGTTTAGGATATAGCATCAACAAAGTTCATTATTCTAAACCATTGCAAAGGCAAACTGGGAATTAAACAGTTGTGGGAAAACAGTTAAAATGTTTAAAGAATAATAATTTCTAAGATATGTGAATTAAGTGTACTTGATGTTAGCAGTTAACAAAGGCTGAATGCAAAATTGATTTAGTTTTTGCTCCTGATTTCAGCATTAGTATAAAATACTTGAACGTTAATTCATTACCAGTGAGTTTAAACATATTCAGTCATAATCAAGTTTTTCAGATGTATTTTACAGACAATATTTTTATTTTAAAATGTTAATCTTTTTGTTTAAACTATTAATCTGAAAGCTACTTTATCTAATATGGAAGTTTAAGTGATGGTGAGTGGATGTTGATTCCACATTATTGAGTCTGAAAGTGATGTTGCTAGGACTATTAGATTCTAGTTTTTTTTTTTGGGTAACTTGACAAATACGCCGTGACAGTGTCATTGAGATTCCAGGTGTTAATAATAATTACTATGCCCGTAAGTATGAAAGCAATGCCAGTTGTTTGTGGGAGTGTGATTTGTTCGTGAATGTGCTCAAGATCATGTTGGTGTGTTTGATGAAAGCGTGTAAGAAAAATAAAGTATTTTTGTTAAGATATTGATTTAAAAAAGAAATTGTATGTCCTCCATATTTTAATTATATTTTGTAACGAACCTGTAAAGAATGCTTTAATCAGTCATTTAGTTATTACTTTTATATTAGTTTTTTTGTTGTAAATAAAGTTTTTTTTAAATTAAAAGTAAAGAATTGTTTTAAATAGTTTTTAACTTGTATTTTTTAGCTTCTGCTGTACAAAACATGTTTACATTACAGTTAATCTTAGTAAATCTGCTCAAATTATCTATACTGGTGGAGGTGGATAAAAGATGTACCCTATGCACATGTGCAGTTACTTTGTACTTAGTATTGGTACTACAGAGTGTATTGGTTTTGGGTCCTAAAGTTCTGTATTTTCATGGCTCCACATGGACTGTAAAGCAGGAATAAATAAATTCTTTGGGCATAATATTATAAAAACATCTTACAGCTTAAAAATGGCCACAAGCTCCAGTGGGGGGGCTTGTCTCCCTGGATCCCACTACCTGCTAAATTTTTTGTTCACTCATCGGGCAATTAATGGTGCCACCACTCGTCTTCTCTGTACGAGAGCTAAGCTGAATGGTGATTGACAATCTTTAGCATGTACATTATCATTTAACACTTTCATTAGACAAATATTTATATTGTGAGAAACCAGTAAAGCGCCTCTCCAATCGTAAAATGCATTTCCGTAACTACGTCTTCAGATATCTGTAGTTATCTGTAGTAAATGAAAAATTTCCGTAGCATAACCTAATAATTTGCCTTGAGTGCAATATAAGCATAAGATATAATGTATAAGATATAAGCATGGAGTTATAATTATTTTGAAAATGGGCCCGATTGTCCTGTGCCCGATTGTCTGTAATTAAATGTGGAATTTCAAACGGGACAAGGTGAAGATTTTTGGGCCTCTCTTTCTTAGTTTTCACAACAATTTATCGGTATTCTGACAAGTACAAGTTGTCTAAGGACAATGTAACCAAAGATCCTGATGGAAAAGTAATTTGTTCTGGACTTTAGACCTATTTATGGGTCTAAATAAAATTACAAAATATTGTCTATTTCCGTATGTCCGTACTTAGGCAAAATATCTGTAGAAAATAGGCCTAACTACGAAAGTACCATAGTACTTGAGAAGTCTGTATCTCACCATGTAGGCCTATATCTAATACAGAAAGCTTGTGTGGTGGACTACTGTACTGTTGTATAAAAATGTTTTTGTCCAATTGTATAGCTTTGTGCAATTAATATTTTAATTCCAAGGCCTCATTTATTGAAAACAAATTTGGAATAATGGTGTCCCACATGTTTCCTTGCCACAGTGCCAAAGGTGAAAAAAAGTAGTGTATCATAGACGTCATTTCCACCAAGAGCAAGGCCTGCCTCATTTATTGAAAATAAATTCGGAATGATGGTCTCCCATACTTCCAGAAGATTTAGCTATTAGCATGCTCCATTGTGGTCTCGCACCATGCATATGTATGTATGTGTGTATGATATGGGATTTATTTAGCACATATAATACCAAGGGAATAACTAATACATTAAAAAAATAGTGAATCATAGACATCATTTCCACCATGAACAACGGCCTCATTTATTGAGAAAAAGAAAATCGGAATGATGGCTCCCACATGCTTCCTTGTCACAGTGCCAAAGGTCAGTAACATTAGTCTTTCAAAACCTAGTAATATGACAACTATACAGAAAATACAGTACAGTACTTATATTTCTCCAGATGGCATTTTTACAAAATCTGGACAAAGCTTATCAATTCCAGAGAACTGAATAGTATTAACGAACATTCTAACTCGCTAAAGTATTCACACTTGTAATATCTTGAGTGAAAAATTAAATTACTACCAAAATTATGAGTACATCATGATTTTATCATGGAATAAATTAATTCAAAAATGATACAGCATGCTGTTCACTGTACATTAGGAAGCTTTCGATCGCAATGCGCCCATAGAACTAGCTCACTCATCCGTGACAATCTGTATTCTCTGCACAATGTAAATTCGGCCCAAACAAGGGCTTGGAGGACATAGTCACATGTGCAGATAACTATATTAAATGTCATTATGCCCTATATCTGAATACGGTTGTCAGTGCAACCAAAAGCTCCCTATTGGCTGTACAGTAGCATGCTTGTAAGATTATGAATCCAGAAGCTATACTGTACATACTGTACTTTTATGCTACCAAATTATTTACGCAATGCAACTAAAAATAAAAAAAACAAACCAATCTGATGACAAATAGGACAGTTCAAGGGAATGTTATAAAAAAACACATTTTTAATAAATTAATTAAAAAACACCCCTCCCCCCCATACACCCTTCTCCTAGCCCTACCCACAATGCTAGTGAAATTAATTTTCCCAGGGCTGCTCCCTCGTGTAAACACAAGATTTATATCTTTCATTAATGTTTGTTATGATAGTGCATGTGCACTATTCTTATTATAGTATAATTGGCTTTATGTCACTCTACATAATCAGCCTTTGCTAGCTGTCACTTTCTATATATGGAACCGCACACTAATGTGACTTACTTTCTTTATTGTCGGTAACTATAATAGTACAGTACTAATGATTTAATACCTGGAATTGCTGTTATAAGAAAACCAGTCTGAACATTTTCAAAACACTAAACTTTCTCCATACCAACAAAATAGTGCAATGTTTTCATAATGATTTCAAGACACATCTGTGGAAATATCTCCAAGCTGAGAAGCTTTACGATGATGGATGATAGAATGCTAATCTATAGATCCGAATTTACACCATATAATTGAAATCATATTTTTTACCAGGGCATCATTTAAATGACCTGTAATCTAGTCTCTTTCTGTCCCAGAGCAGGCAGTTATATTTGGTAATTTCCAGGAGAAAAGTGCAGGATATCTAAAATCTGAGGTTTGACTTGTGTTTCACCATGTATCTGTAAAAAAAAATGTAGTTTAAATTCTTTCATATAAATTATGTATTAAAATGGTACCCTTTAAAACTAGGTCTATTTTCAGGCACAATTAAAATTCATTCAACAAATGTTGGTGTAGGGGCACTCCCTGACCTCATACCCGGTAATTTGCTATGCTCAAAAAGCCGTAGGCAAGTTTTTTAAAAGGGGTTCTAATTTTTCACAAAAGGGCACTTTGATTCCTTACCCACCTCAGCCCCATCATGTCTGGGGTAAATTTTTAAGATATAACACCTCAGATGTCTGGAGATGGCAATAAAAATGCCAAATTTTAAATATTTCCATGCAAATGGTACTTTTTAATAATAATTAAAAAGGGCATTTCTGGAAAAGGATGGTTCAAAAGAACCCCGCTTTTCCAGAAATAGCTACGGGCTTGCTCAAGTATTAAAAAGCACCTCATATCACCTTATTCTGCAACTAATGCCCACACACTTTATTGTAGAATTTCCAATTAACCTTTGTGCCCCTGTTAGCCCTATGACTACTCGCCACGAAAACAACAATGTACTGTAAGCCATCTGTAGCAAACAGACTGATAAACCAACCGTAACAAAGACTTACTTGTCCAAACTCTGCCAAAATTTCAGCAGCGTTGCTCGATCCAAATGGCGCTTGCTGCGACTAATATTTAAAACTTGTACATCCCACTTTGTGACGTTATTGTCTAACGTCATGTCATCATACTTAAGATGAAAAGCTCTAACTGCAATTAGAAAATAAAGTGAAGCCATGCCATGAGATTTAAAAAAGTTAAAAATAAAAAGCAATCATTTAGGCATCTTTAATAATATTACAATTGGCCAGTACATTCTTGTAACACATTACTACAGTATATGGAAAATACGATTGGTAAAAATTTGATTATCTAGACAATGAATCATTATTGAAATTAACTTAAAATAATAATTTAACACAATGAACAAACTTGATGAAAACCAAGAATAATGGGGAAATGTACTACAGTATATTGAAATTGACCACATGAAACTTTTGCCTAGAGTGACATATTATCATAATTATTACTGTGTCATTAACCAGTAAGATTTGATTGGTGAACCCATTATTGAACATACTTTTATTTTATTATTATTTTCTGGATTAATACACAATATATTGTTTTTTTTAAAACTAAAATGGGCCCCTGAATATCAGCTTCCCTTCAAGGAAGCTGGAAGGGTCACCCTCTTTAAACCTTGTTGAAATAAAAAGATAAAAATTATACATTATACATGTCGGGTGCTACCACTCGATATAAGTAACTTACTTTTGGCAAATATGTCTACTGGTGAACCATCAGCCAACAGCCATGGCCAACCTTTGAACTGCCATGCAGGCCCCTGGACAAATACAGCAACCACACGGTCCCTACATAAATAAAAAAAAAAAACACTACATCCAGCATATTGCTGTCTTGATTTTTGTATTGTTATCAAAATTAACCACTATTGTGGACTGATTTTTTACAAAGTGGTCTGACATAAGTTTAGCAAACACAGATACTATTACATTACTATCATCATTACTTATCATTAATATGAGTGGTGAATGAACAAGTGGCGCCGGCAGAGATTCCCTGGCAGGGTTCAGCCCCACCATGGTTAGCATTCAGATAAGCAAGTTTTAGAAAATGATTTCTCGAGCTATGTTCCTCCCTAATGGGGGTCTATGTTCCCCTGCTGGTGCTGCCACCGGACTAAGCAAAACTCAAGATTTCCTCTGACATACCAGTCTTGGGGCATGAGCTTGTTCGGTGTGTCGATGACTCTGTAGGGTACTGTAATGGACTGTATGTGACCGGCCTGATTTACTTCTTTTCTCCTCTGCAACAGAACCTCATTGTCTCTGCGAGCTCCTTGTGCTTTCTTTTCAGCTGTTGTTAAAAATCTTGAAGGTGTCAAAAAAAAAAAAAAGTAAACATTATCAACTGGAAAATTATTTATTCCTTAAAATTAAAAAAAGTATTCTTTCATTATATATTGGAAGAAATTTGTATTTAATTTTCGTAAAATAAAATAAAAAGGGAATGACTTCAAATGTTTTTCTTTAAAAAATTGTGCTATAAAAAGCATCCTTTTAAAGATATACTGTCTGTTTTTATTTATTATACTTTTAACTTACAACCTTTAATATGATAATGGTAATAAAAAAAATGTTCCTTACTTATTAACACACAAATTTTGGTTAGTAATAGTGGTATCTTCAACATTATTAATATTATCAAGTAGTTTCATTTGGTACTGCTGTATTTTCAACTGAATACTTACTTGAGTTCCTGTAATAAATCTTTTGCATTATACAGTGAGATAAGTGATGTTGTTGAGCCTGGAATAATGATAATAGGTGTTCTGGAGGTCCTTTTGGTAGGTTGCTTGGATTGCGGTGCAACGATTTGTGGACGTGGGATAGGGGTTGGCTGGGGGGCTGGGGCTGGCGTGACGGCCTTCCTCGCACTTGCTCCCTCCTACATGAGAAGAAAACTTATAGAATCAAAGTTCAAGATTTTTTCAAGGTTCAAGAAAACTTATAAATCAAGGTTCAAGATTTTTTTTCTTGTTTAAATTAGTACTACTGGTGTTTGTAGCTATGATACTATATCACATATGGTGGGTATTGAACGTATAAATCAGTTAACTCTCACAGACTCAACTTGTTAATGCTCATAAAGTATACTTTTACAACCAACAAACCTAGGCAAATGAAAAATTACAGATGACTAGTCTATATACAAAACTATACGAATGAAATTAAGAAAGCATAATTATATTGTGTTTTGCTTCCAAGAACTGGCATCTATTTCAATTCCTGATTCTATGTTGAATTTGTTATTGGTATTCCAGTATTGGTTTGTGGTTTCTTTCTAAACCGTTTAAGTTTTTTTAGGATTATTCCCTTCCTCTTTCTATCTATAGGTTTCTATCTATAGGTTTATGTAAAGTGCATTGATGAATGTTTTTTATGAAGATAATGAATTAACGATAATTAATGGACTTACCGTCACAGATTTCAAAGGCATGCCGTGGTATGTTCCTGTTGTGTCGATCTTGAATTCCTCGGTTCCTGATGAAGATCAATCAAATGTAAAGTCACAAAATGTGTTATAAATTTACTATTAATAGTGAACTATTATATATTATGTGTCAGTTACATAAACAGGAAGATTGTAGAATCCATAAATTACACATTCACCATAATATGTTTCAGTCCCAATTGAGTGTGTCTATATGCAAACAATACTTTGCATGGCTATGTTTATAATTTAGTATTTATTTATTTATTTAATAAAAATTCAACAATACCGTCCAAGAGGAACCATGGGCCGAGGGCCCAACACAAAGTGAGAACCTCTTGACATAAAATAGAAAACAACTGTATCACTGTATTCTTTTTATTTTCTAAAAGCTTTGTTATGAGACTTACTTTATGTAGAGCATCATGTGTATGTTTTTCATGTGAAGGGATTGCCACCTATCTAAAAGGAGAGTGATTAAGTCACTATAGATAATCCTTGGCCATGTGCCTAAAGGAATAAAATAAAATTTTAAAAAATCCTAAGCATTACGTTTTTATGTTAAGTTTTTGGCATGTATTTAAAATGTATAGTTTAGGATACCTTCTTTCCTTGTGAATTTCTCCTGATCATATCTGTTGTACTGGTAGTGTGCTGGTTGGCTTGGTTTGCGTCTTGTATCCTAAGAAAGGTAAATGATTTAGAGTACTGCCTTATAAATATAAATATACCATCCCTTATTTAATACAATATTTGACTTTGAGGTAAACTTAGCGAATAATAGTACAGCAGAATTTTATCAATTACGTCAACAGACGCCCAGAATATGCCATAATTTAAGGCCTTATAAATAGGAGGTTCAACTGTACTGTGGAGATAAGCAATAAACGCAAATTACTGTTTCACTAGGTTTGGCTGGTGTTCTTGCATGGGCTTGTGATCTGCTGTGTAAGCCTGGTGCACTACCATTCTGTTTGCCCTCCTCCTGGGCTTTTACTGATTGTAGAATTGCGAAAACGTTTTTGTCAAAATCCTGTAAGAAAATCGCAAAAAAAGGGTATAATGTTTGTGTTGGACACCTTAATTAAAATAAGCAGTTTTTTTGTCTTCTTGTGCTATCCAGGTTTAGATCTGGTTTTCAATTGATAAATATGATTAATTCTTTTGGACATTTTTACTGTTTACCTGAAATGTGCATGACAATCAATATTCTATGTACTCACTTTGCCTGTACTTTGTAAGATGGATGCCCTTGTGCGCCATAATCTCTCCCTGCTCATAATATCCCGTGTGACGTCAACTTCGGCGTCGATGAAGCTACCGCGTTGAACATCATCATCTTCGTCTACCTTCACAGTGGCAATCTTAGTCCTTTTCTTTGCTCGGAGCTTAGCACGAATGGCTGCAATTTTCTCAACAGACAACCCGTCTGACAGAGGGCTAGCAAGATAACAACAATGAAGTTGAGGAAGAAAGTTTTGGTACTAATGATGGATAGACACAGCTAATACTTCAGCACAGAGTGGTCAGTTAAGTAAGTAATAGTATCCACATAATATACTTTTTAACAATATTTATTGTGCTTATGTAACAATTATAAAATTAATAATTAATAATGATAATATTAATATACATGGTACATTTATAATTAAAAAACAATATTTTACTCAAACAGAGGTGAATCCACAATATCACATGTGCAATTTCAATAACTATGGTATTATACATATTTATTGTAAAAGAGTTGTTTTACTTACATAATTTGGTTTGTATTGACTGTGCTGCTACCTTCAGTATGTGCTTCAAGACGAGCCTTCAGACGAGCCTAAATAACAGCAAATATTAATAATAATATTATTTATTTAACCGGTGATTTAACTTTCATTTCAATTAGTAGAAAACAGGTAGGTGACGGAATTAATAATAATTAAAATAATAAAAATCCTTATAAATTAAATACAGTCCATCCTGTTTTAAACTTAGGCTGCCATACCTTATCTATTTTCATCTGTGCTTCATTCCTTGGTTTTTTAAAGCCCTCTTTTTCTACCTCTTCAGCTGCCCTCTTTGTCACTGGTCTCTGTGAGGCTATTTCCAGTGGAGCACTCTTATCAATACTTGCAGATGTATCTGATTGAATAACAATAATATACATAAATCAACAACAATAATAATAATAATAAACCTTTGCGGCAGGGCTACACATTGAGATCTGTGGTTCTGAAAAGAACCATTAAGAATGAGTAGTCTTGGCATTTTGGATAAGGTGCTCTAACAGTCCCTTGGAGAGAGTAGTAATAAGGAGGTTATTTGAATTAGTGGAAGTTCAGGCTTAGGATCGAGGTAGCTTGAAGCACTGGTAAGTAGGAAAGGTGCGAAGAGGTTGTTACCGAATGAAGTGTAAAGAATGATGACTTGTTAGGTGTGTTGATGATGTCCTTGGCATTTCCTAATTGTTGACTTTGTTGGGGTTCAGTTGTGTTTCTGTTGACAGAATGTTTGGGGTCCACATTGCCAACAGATGTTTGTGTATCTAATGGTTCACCGCTTATTAATTGTTAATACTCTATTGTCTATACTACATTTTAGTATATTTTTTTTGGTCGTTATTTACCATTAATTTAACTGGATTGTATCAAGAACGATATGTAAGTGTTGTGACAATTACTTGCATCTCAAAAGTAAATTACAATCAATTTCATAATAAATCAAATAATACAGTAATTCTTGATAACTTAATAATTCTTACTTAATTATGGGTGGCATCAAACATCTTCATTATTATTACCAACTTACTTGTCTCGCCATTCAAGTAGGCCAAAAGGGGTCTTCTATCCGGTCTCCTGACAACTGGGATATTGTCAGCCTATTAAAGAGTAATATATTGCATCATCAAGTTGTATTTGGTTAATTCTAGGCCTGACTTTGTGTTTGTGCCTTTTTTCAAATACATTGTTGACCAAACTATAATACATTTAATTGAGGCCAAATAAACAAACAGATCATTTGTCTGAGTTGTTTCACAAGAAATCTACTATAGCTAGTGTGACGGTGATAAGGTTACTGTTATCAACATCATGTCACCTATTTGAGTAGATACATTTGTAATAGGTTTTGTGTATTGAGGCAATTTGTATACTTACAGCTGCCTGTCTGACATAGATGGGATGAGCATCTTTCACATTCTTAAGGAGGAAAAGAATCGCATCAAGTGTGTAGTATTCTTTACTGACTCCATCCTTTCCAGTTCTATCATCAATAAAAAAGAAAACTAATTAGTTTATAAGTAACACACACAAGGATTCAATCTTTTTTTGTATCATCAAGATGTGGTTAAGATTTCCAAATAAACACAAAAGACGAATAAAAAAACTTTGCGATACAGACCTAGCCACGTGTAGGCCTTGTGACGTTGTTATCCACGTAACAATTGATGATAATATTACAATATTAATGTTGAAGTGTGGTGTTCAAAACAGTTTGGATCAGGTGAAATTCATGGACTGTGGGTACAATTGAATAATTTATCTAATGGATTTAAGGATTAGAACTAAGATATTCGGTCTTAGCTGCATACTCGAGGTCCATGGATTACACCTGATGCAACAGTATTTTTGTAGAAGTTTTTACGTATAGTGTATTTTCATCTAAATAATGTTGCAAACATTGCTGAAACATTGTGTTAACATTATTTTCTCACAAACCTAACAAGAGTAATACACTAATACTGTATACTACTACTGTACTGTACAAGCCTATGCAGAGAAACATTCATAAAATTATCCCAGCAGGGAAAATCCCTGCTTGATGATTTATCCAATAATTTTGTTGTCACTCATTTTGACAAAAACATTGCACAATCAAGCAGACAATAATCCATTTAAATAAGGTTTTTCTTCAATAAATAAAACAATTTGTCTATTACTATTGTATTAGGCTGACAATAGCAGGGATACAAAACAATAGAAACTAAACATTTCCTAGGCTAGGCCTAGTACTAGAGTAATGATACAAGAGGAGGCATCGAGTGTTTTTCAACCGGCGTGTTTGCTTCGATCCGCAGCTAGCCTACCTACTAGGCCCCCTTGTGGCCTAATCTACTCTGCGTGCGTCAAAATGGACATCTTGTTGAAATCGTTTCAAGGTAAAAGCAAAAATATAACTTACCCCCAAATGACGTAGTTTGTTCTCACATCCTTGGGCCATGAGAATTCGCCAAATGACACCTGTTCTCCATCCTCCAAGATGTCTTTCTTCTGAATATTATATTGCCTCAAAATACTGAGAACATCGGCCATGGTGCTTTTATGGATTTGCAAACCAACTCGAACGTAGGTCAACCAATTCGAGCGTGAAAAAACTCGAGCGTGTATTTTTGCGGTACAGCCATCAATAGCCAATCAATCGATCTTCTAACCGGGCAACTTTAATATGCCGTTTCTGTTTTTGTTTTGTTTTGTTTTGTTTTGTTTTGTTTTCATCCAACAGTGTAAACACCAAACCTGATGAACATAATATGAGAATATGATTTAAAATATAAAAAGAAAGCAAAAATCGTACACAGATTCATTAAAAAAAAACTTAAGCCTTAACAAAATTAATAAATATTTAAACAAAAATGATTAACCAATTTAACTAAAATATTACTTGTACAATAGGTCTACGCTTAAAATCTCCTCCTCCTTCTTCTGCCTCATGAAATTTAATTGTAGGAACATGATTACCCACGAAAGCTTGGTGTAGGACCACCAAATACGCTAGTTTAGTGTAAAAAAAAACAAAAAACAAAAAAAAAAAACAAAAAACAAAAAAAACCCACGCCTCAAAAAAAAAAAAACAAAAACAAAAAAAAACAAAAACAAAAACAAAAACAAAAACAAAAACAAAAACAAAATCTAAACAAATACCGTATTTTACCAGCTTAAATATTTACTCTCAGTTCCGGCCGTGAGTTCAAAAGTTAATAACCAAAAAAAAAAAAAAAGAATCAAAAAAAAAAAATTAATACATTATAAAAGATATACGCAAAATCAAAACCTACCAGAGGCTCTTATATCCAGTCAATCAAGAGAACATGCTGTTGGGAAAAGTCTTAATTGTAGTTGAAATATTGATGAAAATTTGCACAATAAATTTTGTGCCAGATGCTTTATACTAAATCTCATCATTACGATTGCTTAACTTAGAGAGTGAAGATTGTTTTTAGCAGTGAGAAAATATGCGCAATAGCATGGATTTGAACCCAGGACCGTAGATTAAAAAAATGAAAAAAATAATTAACTTACTGGCCATCATCCACACATTTTGTTTCTATAATGACTTATTAAAATTAAGAAATCACATTGTGAAACTTAAATAAAAAGCAGTGTTACTTTCTTTCTCAAATGAATAATTCATTGTTTAATTTTGCTTTAAAAAAGGCCACGTGATTAATTAAGTGATTGCATAGAGCTATTAAACATATCTCTATGAGTGATTGTCATAAGAATGTTAAACGGCTCGGTTTTACTGAACAAAAAGGCTAATATAATGCCTGAAATGATCGGTGAGGGCGTTTATAATGTAAACTTTCATTATGAGAGTTTCGTCGTTCCATTTGGTTTGGAATCATCGAAGCGGTGAAAAGCCTGTGGTTTTCTTATGAGTCACATCATAGCTAGGCCTAGATAGGCAATGAGATTTACTCATCGTATTCTATCGTAATGGATATCTATTTAAGTATCTTTTGTCAATGAGGTTTGTGTTTGTAAATGACAAGTGATATAATTCGTATGATTGCGCACTTAATCTGAATCGAATACGGGATCCTTTTTCTGAAAACGTAAGTTGCCAGGCTGGAATAACCAACAGGATACGACATCGTGTCTGGCCGGTCGTTGAGTCGAGTATGGACCTGGTGTGAGGCTCTGTCTGGATCTGATTAGTGCTCGCATAGCCTAGGCCTAGGCTGTATGCCACAAAAGGCAAACTTCACACGTTTAATAATAGGCTTTTATATTGACTGATTATAACAAAATAATCATAGAAGAATGGCAATTGGACTTCGATCATTGCCGCAAACAAGGGCAACTCTTATTTTATTTATTTTTGTTTTGTTGATTGCTTTGTTTGCTGTTGAACTTCAAATTCGGGATCTCCAAGAGAACGTTCGAAAATTAGGTGAGTAAAGATTGATGTATAGGCCTAGTACAATTTGAACAACTTTTTTCACGATGTAATTTTTATATTGTTATTTAAGATTGTAGTTAGTACCTGCCTGCAATGCAATGACGGGTTCATTTCACTGAGGTTTAAATTGTTTATTTTAATTGTATACCACAGTCTATACAGTAGTATTTAGCAACAACAAATTACATATTTCAGTCTGTGATTGATTAATCTTTTTCAGATGGTTTTACAATAATTATTTACTCTAGAAAGGCATGTTATTTTATTTTTATTTATTATTATTTTGATAATTGTTGTTATAAAATATGCCAGTTAAATTGGGTTTAGAATAAAATACGGATGAAGGACGGAGTGACAGTTTAACCAAGGAGTAAGAACTGTAGGAGGTCCAACTCTCGGGGTTTCGTTGAAATGCAGTCTTCATTTTAAAAAGTACTATCGTGAACTAGAGGGCGTCCTTGCAAAGAACAAATGCTGCGGCTACAGAAGGCATACGGTAATTCAAGTTATGAAGTCTATGTAATTCTAAAAAGACGCCCCTATCTCGTGGTAATACGTTGTTTTTTTGTTTTTTTTTTTTTTCACTGCGTGCATGCAAAATCAAGGTAGACCAGTGGCGGCGCCAGCGGGGTGGCAGGGGGAGCCCCCCCACTGGACAGGTCAATCCCCCCGCCGGACAGAGCTTTTCGGGCAGTCAGACCATAAAACATATAAAAATAGGCCCACACCAAGCCAAAACATGTCACAGTCTGAGAGTGCCATTTTTGGCCATCTAGAGGTTGATATTCTTTAAAAAAATCTCATTTGGGAGGGGGAATTCCTTCTCCCAGCTCGAGCCTACGAGCTCAAGTGTCCCCGTCGGACAACTTAGCCCCCCCCCCAGAAAATATATCCTAGAGCCGCCACTGCGGTAGACTTCTTTGCAGTTTACTATCTTTTAGGCCTAGTTTTCTTAAGGTAGTACATGGACCTACACTACCTGTATGGGTGGAAAATATTGATTCTACTTTACTAAGGTATATGACTACACTCCAACAAAAGTGTGATGAGTACTGTTGCCCCCCTCCCCAATATTGATAATTTAGAATAAAATTAAAATTTTATTTTTTGCCAACTGGTTCACATCCCTGAGCTATCTTTGTAAATATACAATCTATCATTAATCTGTATTTAAACAAAATTGCAAAATTTTTTGCATTTTCATTAAAACAAACATTGAAATTGGGCCAAGTGAGCTTTTGCCTGATGATACTGTATAAATGTTGATAACTTAAAACTTCATATACAATTAGACTGCCCATCATTTAGCAATTGTCCAAACACTTATATAGGGTTAACAAGGCCTTTCTACAGTAGATTCAACTTTTTTGTACCATGACTTGTTTTGCTAGCCCACCGTTCACACTCAGATAATGGTTATCTTGGCCTGTTAGTATACCTGCCACCGTGAATAATTGGAAATTTCAGAAAAAAATGAAGATTCTTTATTTGATAAAATAATATTTCTTGTTAAAAATGTCGATTTGTTTCTCAGAAATATATAAATGTAAAGTGTTATTAGTCTACTCACAGACCCTATACTTATATAGCGTCTGTGGTCTACTGAACATTTTGCATTGCCCTATTGTTTACGTGACAGTGCAATGGGGTCTGAAGTAAAGGTCAAATAGAATCTTCAGTTACTATTTAACTCATGCAGATTTGTTTTATTTGTTAAATGAAAATGTATATTCTTTGCCTACTGTTGATTATTTTTGGTAATCAGGTATTTGATCATTTTGTTAAACAAGAAAATGGAATTTTTAAAAAATTTTTCGACTTCCTCTGTGAGATTTTTTAAAAAGAAACTCCGCTGACAAGGTAAAAACAGTCTAACCTTAAATAGAATTCTCTTACCTTGAAAGCTGACTAACAACTACAGTAGGCTCTTTGGAATAAATGTTGTAAGCTGGCTGCCCCAGAATTATGACCATGATATATTTTCCCAATTGAGGATTCATAGTAATTGTAAAAATTAAACCATTAAAGCAAGTTCATCTCTACCGGTATGTGAAATTTCTAATATCTCTTTTTAAAACAATTCTCTTCCAAGTTTGTGATATCATCAATAGCTTATTGTCGTGAATCATAAGAAACTATTAAACAAAGTTGTCTGTTGTGGAACTTTTTTTGTGGTTATTTTCAACCTGTGAAAAGAGTCAGAATGGATTAGACTATGGAAATGAGTTCATTCAAAGTTCACATTATTTTAACGTTACATACTTCAGTTGGGTTCAACTGAATGTGTTAATAATAAGCTTCAGTTTACAGCTGTTCTTTTCTAAGTTTTCAAACTCTTTAATCATCCAGAGAAAAAAAATGTTAAGCCAGATGTCTGTTTGTCCAATTGTTGAACAGTTTGCTGTCTTATAAACAATTCAGTTTTCTTTGATTTACAAGCAGTTTACTAACAAAAATCATTGAATCGATTGCTGTCTAATTTATAATTTAATGTTTGCAAGTGATTTCGGAATGAAATTAAGTATAATTTATTTGTCAAAATGTTAAGGCCAAGTAAAAATAAAAAGTAGTTTCTCGTTCCCGCCCGCATGCTATTTTCAGGCCGCTTTGTTTTTTTTTAAGACTAACCCTAGGAAGCGATAACAGCCTCCCAATTGAAGCGCAACCAGAAACTGTAAATGAAATTAACAAAATATTTGACTACTTCTGTAAGAGCTATATTAAACAAGCCTGGGTTTTACGTACAAAAATGTTAAATGTTAAATAGACGTTTACGATGCCAATCTAGTACTACCGATACTCTTACATGCTTGGTATCTATAAATGATTTTTTTTTTTTTTTTTTTTTTTTTTTTTTTTTTTTTTTTTTTTTTTTTTTTTTTTTTTTTTTTTTTTTTTTTTTTTTTTTTTTTTTTTTTTTTTTTTTTTTTTTTTTTTTTTTATATATATTCAATTTTCAATCAAAATCGATCGCATATTTTGTCTTAGTTTACCTCATTTTCGTCATTTCGACTGTTTACTGATTGTGAAGACCGCGACGAGTACGATAAAAATTTTGGCAGCTACCAATTTTTTTTTAAATATCGGTGGTCCGATAGGGATATATTATCAATACATGCCTACTGCGAGTTGGACCGCCAGTTTCAATAATTAGCGTATCCTCTGTAAAATAAAAACTTGTGGTACCATACGGTTTAATTATAAAGAGAATTGACCAATAAACATATTACAATCAGTATCACGTGTCTAAATCA